GCAATCATAAAAGAGGTAAATACGACAGGCGTGAGGAATCTTGCTGTACGATTACTTTTATACCCGGCTGTATATTTAATCCTATCCTCGAAAGTAATGAATGATGAGTGACAGTATAAAAGCAGAGTCTTTACTTCAGAATATAAAACGCAAATGTAAATTAGCTAGCCAACAAAAGGAATATTAACTAGGAAATGTTTTAATGCTGCAGTTAAATGAATTAATTTATGATGGGTGCATTTGGAACTACAATTTGAAGAATCAACGTGGTGCGTTGTAATGTTCGAAAAATAATGTGCGTTGTGCTGAAATGTTCGTGGTGTCGACGGCATTTGTGTTTCATACATTTCTTTGAGAGTTTTCATTATTGTGACCATTATATAAGTTAGTATAGAATTGCATAGATGTATAAAAAATTAATTTTTATTTACTTTCACATTTCTTCTACTTCAAAAGTATTTGGAATGCACTATTAGTATCAGCTGTCGCTTCCTTATAATTACAACTTTTCAAACACTTTTTTCAGCACTTTTTAAAATTAAAAAACCAGTCCTTCTTGAGGGTACCAAAATCAGATCTTTTTAGAATTAATAACATCAGCTTTTCTCAGGGCTACCATACTCTTCTAAACGTGAAGCAATTTTAAAGGAACAACCACTCCTATTTCAACAAACCACTGGCATTCCCCACGCCTGTCGTATTTACCTCTTTTACGATTGCCGGTACTTTTATTTGCCATGCCGTTTTCCACTACTCATGAAGCGATTAACAAAACATAGTGTAAATTAATTGAATAATATTTCACAAATTCATATCAAAATGAAACGTAGACATCGCTATAGAAGGCCAGCAGAGTCGAGATGTAAGTACAATTTGCAACGTAAAAATATCTATTATGACGGTGAACTTAAAAATTCCAATTCATCCGCATTCTTTGTCAAGATGTATAGTTTACTTGTACAAATTTTTAAGAAAATTAGATCTACATTTAACTAAAATCTCAACTTTGAGTTTGATTTTAAAAAAATGCCACAACTTGCCACATGTTTAATTATTACTGCAGGAAAGAGTGAACCTTCCTCTATCAGAATCTGAAAACATCGGGTGCACTTTTTTGCACTTTTTCAAGAAAATGGCGATTGAATGAAATTACACCCATCTTGGCCGCTGCGCGTGAAGATGGAAAAGCAGTAACAGGTACGATTATTATCCAGTTAACTGCCTTATTAACTATTATTATTAATCATTGCAACGTGTATATTCAGCATCCAAAACTTTATTTCGTCCTTGCAATATGTCATAATAAATTTTCATAATTATCGAAACGTTTTTCACGAATGATTTGGTATAGATCATAAGAAATATAAATGAATATATTATGATAACACATGTCTTGTCATTTTTTAATTATTATATCCATTTCTCTTACAATTATTAACAGTTTTAAGTCAAATTTTTGTTAAATAACATAAAATATGTCTAACATGTGAAGGATATTGAACGCGCTACAGTTTATACGTGAATATCTTGACACCCTGTAGCTCAATATGATTTATATTAATACAACTTAAGTATCATGATGTAGGCAAAAACTTCCCAAAATTTCATTAAAACATTTCCAATAGAACCGAAGTTACAGAATTTTGATCGCCAAAAGCAGTTTTGTACCACTGTGCGGCGCGGCGCGCCAATATTGAATACCGCTGGCAGCGACGTATGTTTTGCCGAACTATTTCCCTTGTAAAATGAAAACGAAAGTGATTTCGTAGTAAGTTCGCTTGATGCTTTTTGTAGCAGAAATGTTTTCTCTATCACGTACGATAATTAGATTTTCGCCTAGTCCCTTAGTTTTTGAAATAAATTGAAAAATATGAGCCAAAATTGGTGCGTTTTTAGTGTCTTCCTCACTTTGATCATTATTTAAACATATTTAAATGTTTACAACGTAATAACAATTTATATCGTTTTATTCGGGAAAGTTCACAGATTTTTCTCGTGTCAAAAACAACTGAATAGCTGCTATGGTAAAAGCACAAAACATCTCCAACGTTGAAAATTAAATTTTTTTTAAACATTAATTTTCTTAAAACCTCTACGACCTAGAGAGAAACGGATTTCAGATTCGTATCCAGCTCGCAAAAATCTATAAGAATTTCATAGTGGTGGTTACGAAATTAAAATAAAGTCAAAATTTGTTGTACAGTGTTATGGGGTGGGAATACAAGATTATATGATTATATTATGAGTGACCGAATGATATTATAATTTCTTGAACTACCGATGATAGAGTATCCAGATTTTAGTTTCTATGTACGCTTAACCAAACTAATCACCTAAGCGAGCCCGCAACTTTCGGGTTATCGCTACGCCTAAGCAAGGGGGAATCCCACAACGTTCAATTGGCAACGTTCAATGTGGGAAAGTGAATAGAAAAGTTGCTTGGGACTCACCAAGAGCTTAGCTGCACGGAAACGGTTATTAAAGGTTTTGGTGGACCGCTGCCTTCTCTCTGTCTCTTGCTCTCGACGCACGATTGATGGAAACAATGTGATTGATAAATGAAACTATGATTAAATGTCTTTATACTAATAGTTCTATTTGTAAATGAAATCAAACTTGAGTCTTTATTTAACGAGGAAAACTGAATCTTTTCGCGTGACACTGTTATTCACGAAACCCTGCTCGAAGTATTTCGAAATACCTAACGTTCCTCGCATGGAGACCGCGCACCTCGCGACTGTATGGCCGACTGTGTTCGCTATTGCACGCGATCGGTTTTTTATGGCTGAAAATGCTGCTTTTGCATGAGTTGAGAAAGAGTTCACTGGTATATTGACCCACTGAAACATCGCTGCGTTGGCACTGATATTTCTCATATTTTCGGCGCAGCGTTCCGAGAAGAAGAAGGAATTTGTTGATGCTGGTGACTCTAAGAAGGTTGGTCAGTGAACTGATTTCGCGGTTGCTAACCCGTTCGTAACTTTAAAACTTTTCTTGTCGGAACGTAACAACTCAACACACCCACATAAGCACAATGTCACAAATACAGAATACACCACATACATCCAGTAATAGAACGATTCACAGTAAACAGAAAAGATGAGGGAAGAGGATTCATCGACATCAAAATCCTAAATTACAAACAAATAGACATTTTGAAAAAATATTTTATAGAACGAGCAGAAACCAGCACCCTACAACATTACAATTCCGCAACCACACATACAATCCTATAGACTACACAACAGCAAAGGTGATTAAAAGAAACATTACGGAGCAAACATCCGTACTATGTAACACAGCCACAAGTTGACCAACAGGTATCCAACAGATGGCTAGAAAAAGGCAACATATGTAGTGAAACAGAAGGAGTCATGAAAACGATACAAGATCAAGTAATCAACACCTGGTAGTACAGTAAACACATCATCAACGACACCAATCCAACGTCAGACAAGTGTAGAATATGCAAACAACTCACAGAAACAATAGACCACATTATAGAATGCTGCCCAATACCAGCAAACACATAAAACACCAGAAGACCGGACAACATAGCGAAAATCGTCCATTAACAATACACACCACAAAATGTACTGGAAAATAACGAACATAAACTACATGTACTAGAACAGAAACATTACAACAAACAAAACAACACTACACACAGCCAGACATCACATTCATACACAAAGAAAAGAAAATAACACAACTGGTCGAAACATCCATACATAACTCAGCAAAGATACAGAAGAAAACAGGAGACAAAATTGAAAAATACATCCAATTGACTGAGGAAATCAAAGACCACTATAATATCCTGTAGCATCAGGACAAAGTAGAAATATCAGTTATACTATCAACTGCAAAAGTCAAACCACACAACATTCACGAGCACATTCACATACTAAAACTACATCCAACTATGTACATACAGTTGCAAAAATCAGTCATCATCGATATACAGGGTGTCCCGACTTAAGTGTTATAATTCAGTTATTCCGTAACTATTAATAATACAAAAAATTGTTAATGTGGGAATTGCACGGCAAAATCGGAACTATATTTTGGCCGAAGTAAAAAATGTTTTGCATTATTAGTTTAAGAGATATGATGGTCAAGTTTCGTTTTTCAAATGGAACTATATATATTTTTTTAGTTCATGTGATAGTGCTTCTCAAGACGAATTCATTAAGCTTTAATGTATACATTCGATTTTAATTAGTTTTCAAGATATAACGCTTACAAATTTACCGATTTTCAGTAGATACGTCTCAGTTTGAGTGGCAAGTAGTATAAAATAACTTTTAACAAAAAATACAGCCGACTTCAAAATGCACTAAAAAGTATGAAATAATTTCTATCTCATTTATACAAATACCCAAATTAATAAAACCTATTTACTCGTTAAATAGTATACTAAATACATTTCAACGATTTTCAGAGGCGGCGCAAAATTAAAAATACCTGAATATACGATGCTGCTAATAACGATTTGATAGGTTGCCGACGCCTGAACTAGGATCTTCCTAGTAAAAGAAAAGTTTTTAATTTTGCACCGCCTCCGGAAAGGTTGAAATGTATTGTATTTAGTATACTATTTAACAAGTAAATAGGTTTTATTATAAGTTGTTAGGTATTTGTATAAATGAAACAGAAATTATTTCATTAGAAAATAGAAATTTGTTGGATATTATTAACAACACTCGTTTTCTTGTTTTTCATTTATGGCGCCATTGTTCTTCTTTTATTTTCGTATGCATGGCCAGCGCCAGGAAATAGAATAGAAGAAGCACAGGCCAGGAAAGTAAAAGTATGTAATACAGAACAAGGAGCTTTGTACACCAAGGAAGTGAAAGATCAACCAAGAGGTGAATCTTTTAGATCGAGCAACCAGAAGTATGGAAATAAATATAAATGTAATTATTGCCACAGAATTGGGCATAAGGTTGCTGATTGTTAGAAGAAAAATACAGATAGAAGACAAAATTTTCCGCAAAATGATAAAAGACAAAGCTTTGTTCAGACTGATAGAAGACAAAATGTGCGGGTTAGTAAAAGGCAAAGTGTTGCGCATGCTGAAGAAACACTGTTGACGACCAATGTAGATCAGCGTGGTGCAGTATCCCAAAAAAGTGCTTTAAGTTTGGGTACACACATTTGAAGGAGCAATGATGACAGATGGGTTTTGGATAGTGGTGCTTCTGCACACATGTGCCACAATAAATCTTTGTTTGTAGATTTGAGACCAGTGACGGGTCAAGATGTTAAACTAGCGACCGATAAAATAATCAAAGTCCATGGATCAGGAACTGTATGTTTGAATGTCAGAAGAGGTAAGCATTTACAGAAAATATATTTGGAGAATACACTGTATGTTCCAGAGTTGAGGACGAATCTCCTCTCAGTTATGAAGGCAGCTGAAAAAGGTAGAAAAGTGACGTTTATGAATAATTATGCAAAGATATTAAATTCAGAAGAGAATCCTATAATATATGCTCAAAAACTTGGAAATTTATATTGTAATAGTTTATTTACACTCCCCTTGCGGGCTTGTGTGGCGCTTTTAACAGGAGCGTTCCCCAACCTTACAAATCTCTTTTACAAACTTTTGCACGCCCTTGCTACATACATACTCCCTTTTCCAACCTCCTCCCTTTCCTTGTCCCTTTCATATTTTCCTACCCTAAGTTTTTTTCCTTATTCCAGTGATCATCCATCCGCCTGAGTCACTTTAACTTAAATTTATCCGTATAACAATGTGCGCAAAAACAAAATTCTAAAGTGCCTATATCGAATATAAAATATAAAAATATAAAATATAAAGAAATATAAAGAAATTATGAAACATAACTTACATCCGATAGCCTAAGCTCTACCAAAAATCTATATCTAAACAAATAAACCTATGCGTAAGAATGTAGTATGATAATAGAATAACAATGAGTAACATAAAAGTAAAATAAAAGTAAATTAATAATGCAGTAAAATGATAAACGATAAATGATAAACCATAGATTCGCTTGAATTAAGCTTATATGTAATACCAAAAAAAATAACAATCAGACTCCTCCCTTACCTACCCCCGCCTATCCCATACTGCTTTCTTACCCATATTCTTTTACTCCTTATTCACTCCTCTGAATATATTTAGCGCTCCATCTTTCTCACACTTTTGATCCACTAGATCACACTAAGATAAGATAGCTATAATACTACAACCGCAATTAACTTGCCACAGCCTGTGTTTTGTACTACTTCAGTCTTATATAAACACGCTTCCCCTGTCTAATCAATCTCTACTGGCACTTTAATTCTATTGCACTCCCTAACGACCCTGTCCCTTACCCCCTGCGCTCCTTTCCCCCTCCCATACTTCTTTGCTCTTCTGTTCCTTCTCCTTTCCCTTTTCCTCTTCTTTCCTGCTTCCCTCGGTCCTCTTCTCTTATCTTCGGTCCTTCTTCTTTATTTCCTGTCCATCTGTCTGCTGGCTTCCCATTTTTCTGCCCTCTCGTTCCATTTCCATTCTTCTCCTTCTATCCATATTCTTCTATTATTAAATTCCACCCAGTTCCCCTTTCTTCTTTCTTCTCTCGCCTTTTCTTTTATCCTCCACTTCATCCTTCTCTCTTCTTTTGAAAGATCCTCGTCAACCGCAACCCTCCATCTGTCCCAAATCCCATTTTTTGTCCATACCATTTCCTTTTTGCGGTCTTCATCTTCCAGTTCTGTCAATACTATATTTCTCCCCCCTTCTCCCACCCTTTCTGTTGCTCTTTTTATTACTACCTCTTGTCCCAGTTCTTTTTCTAGTATCTTTTTGATATATTTCAATCTTTCTTCTAAGTTCTTTCCCTCTACCCCCTTCCAAATCAAGCTTCTTTTTCTCCTTTCCTTTCTTATTTCTTCTATTCTTTCCTCCCATATCTTTTCCCACTCTTCTTCTCTTCTCATTGTTCCTTCTGTTTCCATTCTTCTCCTCCACTCTTTTTCTCCTTCCAGCTCGTCAACATCTCCCTCTGATCTTCTTCTCCATTTCTCCTTCGCTTCTTCTATTGTTTCTCTTCCATTCTTCTCTTCTTCTTCCTTTCCGCCACTATTTCTTTCCTTCTCTATTTCTTGCACTTCTATCTCCTCCTCTTTGCTAACTTCTTCCCTCTCTCTTTTTACTGCACTTTCGTTCCCCTCATTCTGGTTTTCCCACCCTCCTCCTTCTGCTTCATCTTCTTCTTCTTCTCTCTTGCATTCTTCTTCCCCCGGTCCTCTTCTCCTCTTCTCTATTTCTTCTGCGCTCTCCTGCTTTTCCTTCCATTCTCTCTTTGTTCCTCTTTCCAACCTCCAATCTTTTATTTCTTCTCTTAGTCTCCTTACTTCTTCTCTAATTCCTCTCAGCTCCCTCAGCACTTCCTCTTGGCTCTCCATATCGTTATCCTTTCTTCTCTTCAGTAACTCCCCTTCCCTCCTTATTAATCTTGTTTTACTTTTAATTTTTCTCTTTTCTTTCCTTTTTTAATCTTTTTCTTCCTTTCCCCTTTGCACAACTTCGCCAAGGTTCTTGATTGCTCTTTACCCTTGCTTTATACTCAGTACGTGCTTCCTTTCGTACCACGCACTTTTCCCGTCTTGCCAACCTATCTTTTCTTGTGGTGCCACTACATCTTTTCTTACACCACTTGGTTTTCCAGTGGTGCCAACCTTGCCTTTTCCGCTTCTTATATTTCTACTGCTTAGTATGCTCCCCTCTTCTCCTTTCCCTTTCTTCCTCTTCCCTTGCTTGCTCTTATCGTGAACTTCCTTACCGATCTTCCTTCCTTCACTGTCCGTCTCTTTCTTCTTTTCTTTTATTTCCTACGTCATCTGTTGTTCCTTTTCTGTCCTTCTTTCTTAGCATCATTAGTCGTTATACTTCTCGCTGTTTCTCACTCCGCGTCTCTTCTCCTTCCCCAGTTCCCGCCCTGTGTTTCTCTAACTGTTTCATCCATTCTTCTCCTTCCCCACTTCCTCCCAGCAGCTCTCTCACTCTCTCTTGCCATCCTTCTTTTCTTTCTTCTCCTCCGACAGCACACCTTTCCCATATGTGCTCCCATGTTTCTTCTTCCCAGCCACATAATCTACATTTCCTATCCTCTTCTTTTCCCCAGTATTTTGCCTCATTTACCTCGTTTCCCAATCTAAATTTGGCTACTCTTCTCCATCTTTCCTCCTTCCATCCTTTTTCCAGATAGCTCGGTATTCCTGGCTCTATAATGACCTTATACTACCTGTTATACCTCGATTCCGTTATCTTTTCCCACCTCTCTTCCTCTTGCATCTGCTTGTCTCTTTCTTCAAGCTCTTCGTAGCCCATCTCTCCACTACTTCTTTTCTCCTCCAGTTTCTCTAATTTCAGTCCCCTCTCTTCGAAGAACTTCTTCCTTTCTTCTTCCCATTTGCTACCCTCGCCCCTCCTTGTTTCATTTCCAATTACTTGGACCCAGCAGCTCTTCGCCAGTTCTCCCCCCCGCCCTTGCCATAGCTTTCTTTCGTAATCCCTCTTCCCGGTTCTCATTCTCATTTTCCATCTTTTCAGTTCTTCTCTTAGTAGATAACCTGGCGTCCGCCAATCCACTCCTAATGTCCATCTCAGGAATCTCTCGTGTACCCCCTCTATCTCCCGCCGCTCCCTCCATCCCCATACTTCCGCTCCATATGCTATGATCGTCCATACTAGCTTATCCCACAGCCAAATTCTTCTCTTCCAGTTTTTTCCGAATCTTCTTTTTCCTATCCCCCATACTTGTCTCATCGCAATTCCTGCCTTCTTGATTCTGTCTTTTACCTGTAATTCGCTGCCTCCGTTTCTCCTGAATACATACCCCAGGTATTTGAACTGGTCTACCTCTTCTATTTTCTTTCCGTTCCACCACCACTCCACTTTCTTCCATCTTCCCGCCCCTTTTCTGAATCTCATTATTTTTTATTTCTCCTGATTCAATTCCAGCCTCTTTTCATCCAGGTACTTCTCTAATCTCCCTAGTAGCACCCTCATATCCCCTTCCTCCTCCGCCAAAACTACCACGTCATCCGCGTAAGCCAGAGTGTATATTTTCCTTCCTCCGATCTTTATCCCTCCTCCGCCTCCCTTTTTCATCTTCTCCTCCATATCTGCCGTCAGCAGGTTGTACAACAATGGACTTAGTGGACACCCTTGCCTTACTCCTCTTGCAGTCCAGAATGGTTCTGTTGTCCCTTCGCCTGTCCTTACCCTGCTTCTGATCTCCCTCAAGATCTCTTTTATCCTTTTTCTTAACCCTTCCCTTACGCCCCTTTCTCTTAGAGCCTCCATCAGGACTCCTCTATCCACTGAGTCAAAAGCTGCTCTCAGGTTTATGAACAACGCTATCACTTTCCCTTTTGCCCTCTTTATCTGTCTGTTTACCAGATAGTTTAATACGTAGATATTGTCCGTTGTTCCCATCCCTCTTCTAAATCCCGTTTGGTTTTCCGGCAGCATTCTCTTTTCCTCTACTTCCTCTCTCAGCCTTTCAGTCAGGGCCGCTGCATATATCTTGTATAGCGTGGGCATTAGTGTCACCCCCCTGTAGTCAGATGCCTGTTTCCCATCTCCTTTTTTCTTTATGGGTGCGATTATCCCTTCCTTCCATCCTTCCGGCCATCCCTCACCTCTCCACACCCTGTTGCATATTTTCCATGCCCAGTCCATTACTTCTTCTCCACCGTATTTCCACACTTCGTTGGGGATCTCATCTCCCCCTGTTGCTTTTCCGTCCTTTCGTTTCGCCACCGCTTTTCTTATTTCTTCTTTTCTTATATCCGCTTCCTCGTCCCTTTCTCGTTCTCTTTCTCCCCCCATTACTACCTTTTCTTCTGACCCGCCTAGTAGGTTAACGAAGTGTTTTCTCCAATCCTCTTCTTTTATACCCGTTTTCACTCTCCCCCCTCTTTTCCTCTCCCTATTTATTATCTTCCACACCTCGCCTTCTGTTCTTGCTTCTTCCACCTCCTTTTCAAAACTCTCGTTTACTTTTTCCTTTTTTGTTCCGCATAGTCTGTTGTATTCCTTTTTCGCTTCTCTATACTTCACTATCCCGACCCTCCCTTTCCTCCACTCTTTTAACACCTTTCTCACTTCTTTCTTTTTCTGCCTACATTCTTCGTCCCACCACCCTTTTTTCCTACGCGTTTTTGTTTCCTCCCTTCCTCTCTCAAGCCCCTTCCTACCTTTCATATTTTCCTACCCTAAGTTTTTTTCCTTATTCCAGTGATCATCCATCCGCCTGAGTCACTTTAACTTAAATTTATCCGTATAACAATGTGCGCAAAAACAAAATTCTAAAGTGCCTATATCGAATATAAAATATAAAAATATAAAATATAAAGAAATATAAAGAAATTATGAAACATAACTTACATCCGATAGCCTAAGCTCTACCAAAAATCTATATCTAAACAAATAAACCTATGCGTAAGAATGTAGTATGATAATAGAATAACAATGAGTAACATAAAAGTAAAATAAAAGTAAATTAATAATGCAGTAAAATGATAAACGATAAATGATAAACCATAGATTCGCTTGAATTAAGCTTATATGTAATACCAAAAAAAATAACAATCAGACTCCTCCCTTACCTACCCCCGCCTATCCCATACTGCTTTCTTACCCATATTCTTTTACTCCTTATTCACTCCTCTGAATATATTTAGCGCTCCATCTTTCTCACACTTTTGATCCACTAGATCACACTAAGATAAGATAGCTATAATACTACAACCGCAATTAACTTGCCACAGCCTGTGTTTTGTACTACTTCAGTCTTATATAAACACGCTTCCCCTGTCTAATCAATCTCTACTGGCACTTTAATTCTATTGCACTCCCTAACGACCCTGTCCCTTACCCCCTGCGCTCCTTTCCCCCTCCCATACTTCTTTGCTCTTCTGTTCCTTCTCCTTTCCCTTTTCCTCTTCTTTCCTGCTTCCCTCGGTCCTCTTCTCTTATCTTCGGTCCTTCTTCTTTATTTCCTGTCCATCTGTCTGCTGGCTTCCCATTTTTCTGCCCTCTCGTTCCATTTCCATTCTTCTCCTTCTATCCATATTCTTCTATTATTAAATTCCACCCAGTTCCCCTTTCTTCTTTCTTCTCTCGCCTTTTCTTTTATCCTCCACTTCATCCTTCTCTCTTCTTTTGAAAGATCCTCGTCAACCGCAACCCTCCATCTGTCCCAAATCCCATTTTTTGTCCATACCATTTCCTTTTTGCGGTCTTCATCTTCCAGTTCTGTCAATACTATATTTCTCCCCCCTTCTCCCACCCTTTCTGTTGCTCTTTTTATTACTACCTCTTGTCCCAGTTCTTTTTCTAGTATCTTTTTGATATATTTCAATCTTTCTTCTAAGTTCTTTCCCTCTACCCCCTTCCAAATCAAGCTTCTTTTTCTCCTTTCCTTTCTTATTTCTTCTATTCTTTCCTCCCATATCTTTTCCCACTCTTCTTCTCTTCTCATTGTTCCTTCTGTTTCCATTCTTCTCCTCCACTCTTTTTCTCCTTCCAGCTCGTCAACATCTCCCTCTGATCTTCTTCTCCATTTCTCCTTCGCTTCTTCTATTGTTTCTCTTCCATTCTTCTCTTCTTCTTCCTTTCCGCCACTATTTCTTTCCTTCTCTATTTCTTGCACTTCTATCTCCTCCTCTTTGCTAACTTCTTCCCTCTCTCTTTTTACTGCACTTTCGTTCCCCTCATTCTGGTTTTCCCACCCTCCTCCTTCTGCTTCATCTTCTTCTTCTTCTCTCTTGCATTCTTCTTCCCCCGGTCCTCTTCTCCTCTTCTCTATTTCTTCTGCGCTCTCCTGCTTTTCCTTCCATTCTCTCTTTGTTCCTCTTTCCAACCTCCAATCTTTTATTTCTTCTCTTAGTCTCCTTACTTCTTCTCTAATTCCTCTCAGCTCCCTCAGCACTTCCTCTTGGCTCTCCATATCGTTATCCTTTCTTCTCTTCAGTAACTCCCCTTCCCTCCTTATTAATCTTGTTTTACTTTTAATTTTTCTCTTTTCTTTCCTTTTTTAATCTTTTTCTTCCTTTCCCCTTTGCACAACTTCGCCAAGGTCCTTGATTGCTCTTTACCCTTGCTTTATACTCAGTACGTGCTTCCTTTCGTACCACGCACTTTTCCCGTCTTGCCAACCTATCTTTTCTTGTGGTGCCACTACATCTTTTCTTACACCACTTGGTTTTCCAGTGGTGCCAACCTTGCCTTTTCCGCTTCTTATATTTCTACTGCTTAGTATGCTCCCCTCTTCTCCTTTCCCTTTCTTCCTCTTCCCTTGCTTGCTCTTATCGTGAACTTCCTTACCGATCTTCCTTCCTTCACTGTCCGTCTCTTTCTTCTTTTCTTTTATTTCCTACGTCATCTGTTGTTCCTTTTCTGTCCTTCTTTCTTAGCATCATTAGTCGTTATACTTCTCGCTGTTTCTCACTCCGCGTCTCTTCTCCTTCCCCAGTTCCCGCCCTGTGTTTCTCTAACTGTTTCATCCATTCTTCTCCTTCCCCACTTCCTCCCAGCAGCTCTCTCACTCTCTCTTGCCATCCTTCTTTTCTTTCTTCTCCTCCGACAGCACACCTTTCCCATATGTGCTCCCATGTTTCTTCTTCCCAGCCACATAATCTACATTTCCTATCCTCTTCTTTTCCCCAGTATTTTGCCTCATTTACCTCGTTTCCCAATCTAAATTTGGCTACTCTTCTCCATCTTTCCTCCTTCCATCCTTTTTCCAGATAGCTCGGTATTCCTGGCTCTATAATGACCTTATACTACCTGTTATACCTCGATTCCGTTATCTTTTCCCACCTCTCTTCCTCTTGCATCTGCTTGTCTCTTTCTTCAAGCTCTTCGTAGCCCATCTCTCCACTACTTCTTTTCTCCTCCAGTTTCTCTAATTTCAGTCCCCTCTCTTCGAAGAACTTCTTCCTTTCTTCTTCCCATTTGCTACCCTCGCCCCTCCTTGTTTCATTTCCAATTACTTGGACCCAGCAGCTCTTCGCCAGTTCTCCCCCCCGCCCTTGCCATAGCTTTCTTTCGTAATCCCTCTTCCCGGTTCTCATTCTCATTTTCCATCTTTTCAGTTCTTCTCTTAGTAGATAACCTGGCGTCCGCCAATCCACTCCTAATGTCCATCTCAGGAATCTCTCGTGTACCCCCTCTATCTCCCGCCGCTCCCTCCATCCCCATACTTCCGCTCCATATGCTATGATCGTCCATACTAGCTTATCCCACAGCCAAATTCTTCTCTTCCAGTTTTTTCCGAATCTTCTTTTTCCTATCCCCCATACTTGTCTCATCGCAATTCCTGCCTTCTTGATTCTGTCTTTTACCTGTAATTCGCTGCCTCCGTTTCTCCTGAATACATACCCCAGGTATTTGAACTGGTCTACCTCTTCTATTTTCTTTCCGTTCCACCACCACTCCACTTTCTTCCATCTTCCCGCCCCTTTTCTGAATCTCATTATTTTTTATTTCTCCTGATTCAATTCCAGCCTCTTTTCATCCAGGTACTTCTCTAATCTCCCTAGTAGCACCCTCATATCCCCTTCCTCCTCCGCCAAAACTACCACGTCATCCGCGTAAGCCAGAGTGTATATTTTCCTTCCTCCGATCTTTATCCCTCCTCCGCCTCCCTTTTTCATCTTCTCCTCCATATCTGCCGTCAGCAGGTTGTACAACAATGGACTTAGTGGACACCCTTGCCTTACTCCTCTTGCAGTCCAGAATGGTTCTGTTGTCCCTTCGCCTGTCCTTACCCTGCTTCTGATCTCCCTCAAGATCTCTTTTATCCTTTTTCTTAACCCTTCCCTTACGCCCCTTTCTCTTAGAGCCTCCATCAGGACTCCTCTATCCACTGAGTCAAAAGCTGCTCTCAGGTTTATGAACAACGCTATCACTTTCCCTTTTGCCCTCTTTATCTGTCTGTTTACCAGATAGTTTAATACGTAGATATTGTCCGTTGTTCCCATCCCTCTTCTAAATCCCGTTTGGTTTTCCGGCAGCATTCTCTTTTCCTCTACTTCCTCTCTCAGCCTTTCAGTCAGGGCCGCTGCATATATCTTGTATAGCGTGGGCATTAGTGTCACCCCCCTGTAGTCAGATGCCTGTTTCCCATCTCCTTTTTTCTTTATGGGTGCGATTATCCCTTCCTTCCATCCTTCCGGCCATCCCTCACCTCTCCACACCCTGTTGCATATTTTCCATGCCCAGTCCATTACTTCTTCTCCACCGTATTTCCACACTTCGTTGGGGATCTCATCTCCCCCTGTTGCTTTTCCGTCCTTTCGTTTCGCCACCGCTTTTCTTATTTCTTCTTTTCTTATATCCGCTTCCTCGTCCCTTTCTCGTTCTCTTTCTCCCCCCATTACTACCTTTTCTTCTGACCCGCCTAGTAGGTTAACGAAGTGTTTTCTCCAATCCTCTTCTTTTATACCCGTTTTCACTCTCCCCCCTCTTTTCCTCTCCCTATTTATTATCTTCCACACCTCGCCTTCTGTTCTTGCTTCTTCCACCTCCTTTTCAAAACTCTCGTTTACTTTTTCCTTTTTTGTTCCGCATAGTCTGTTGTATTCCTTTTTCGCTTCTCTATACTTCACTATCCCGACCCTCCCTTTCCTCCACTCTTTTAACACCTTTCTCACTTCTTTCTTTTTCTGCCTACATTCTTCGTCCCACCACCCTTTTTTCCTACGCGTTTTTGTTTCCTCCCTTCCTCTCTCAAGCCCCTTCCTGAACTCCCCTAGCATTGTCTCCATGTCCTCTTCTAGTTTTCCTTTTCTCATTTCCCTCCACACAATTTCCTTTTTAAACCTTTCTCTTCCCTTCTCCGACCAGTTTCCTCTCGCCGCTGGTCTTTTTTTCTCCCCTTCTTCCTCCTTCCCCACTCTCTCCCCTTCCAACTTCAGTATCATTGGGTGGTGGTCTGAGTCAACTCTGTCCCCAATTCCATTCTTTTGATTCTCTCCTTCCCCTTTTCCTCTGCTTCCTTCCCCTCTATTACGTAATCTATTACTGTGTTCTCCTTGCTCCCGTGTACGTGAACTCTCCTTCTTCATCCCCCCTCATATTCCCATTCAGTATTTCCCAACCTGTTCCTCTTAGTGCCTCTAACATGACTCTCCCCTCCGCATTTTGCTTTTTATCTTTTGATTTTCTTTCTCCCTCTTCCTCCTCCTCCCTCTCATCCTTCCTCCTCCCCCTTCTTCCCCTGTTCTCGCATTGAAATCTCCTCCTATTATTGTTATTCTTTCTTCTTCTACGTCTTCCATTCTTGTCCTAAGTTCCTCCATTTTTTCCTCTATGTCCGCGTTCACATATACCCCCACCACTCTCCATTTCTCTTCCCCTCTCTTGAATTCTGTTGTCATTATTCCTGTCTTTTTCCCTTCCTTTATTATCCTTCCTTCTTTTCCCATCAGGTGCTCTTTCACCCCTATCATCATTCCTCCCATTGCCCTTCCTTTTTTATTTTTTCTTTCAGCCAGCTGTGCTTCCCATCTATATCCTTTTGGCAGCCGTCCTTCTATCTTCTCCCATCCTTTCTTCTCAAGCCAGGTCTCCATTAAGACTACCACGTCCCACTTCATAATCGTATTCCAGAAGTCTTCATCTTTATTTCTGATTCCCGCGCAGTTCCAAAACCCTATTTCCCACCCCTCCCTTTCTTCCTCTATTCTTTCATTCTTTTCTTTTTCTTTCTTTCTTTTCTCCCCTTCTACCCTTTCCCCCCTCTTCTTCTTTCTCTTCTGCTTCTTTTCTTTTCCTATCCCTTTATCCCTCTTTCCCCCTCTTTCTCTCTTTTCTTCTTCTCCCACTTATCCCACTCGCTCCCCCCTTTTATCCCTCACATTTCTTCCCCCACGTTGTTCGACCCCCTATTTTTCATACCATTCTCTCCCCTGTCCGTCCTTCAGGCACTCACTGTCCTCCTCCCACCTCCACCATTTCCCTTCTATTCTGATTCTTCCATAATCCACCCATACGTTCTTTCCTTTTTCTCTTTCCTCCTTTGCTATCCTTCTTAGCTTCCATTGTATCCTCCTTTTTTTCCATGTTAAGTCCTCTTCTATTCTTTCATCCCTGACTTTCAGCTCTTTCTTTCTCATCATTACGCTTCTTTTCTGCTCTACTGTCTTCAATTTTATTTGAACCATGCTTACTTCTTTTCCCCCTTCCCCAAATCCTGCCGCTTTCACCTCCTCCACCGCGTCCTGGACCCCGATTGCTTTCATTATCTCCTCTGCTTTCTCTTTCATCTCCTCCCTTTTTATTCTCACCCCTTTAATTATTATGTTTTTTCTTTTTTCATCTTTTTCCTTCCGTTCCCACCTACCCTCTAATTCTCTCAATTTTTCCATTATTGTATCTTCTTCTTTCCCTGCCCTTCTTTCCTCTTTTGTACCCTGTTCCATTTTTTGAATTTTCTCCTCTAATTTATTCCATTCGTCGTTCTCTTTTTCCTCTTTTTCTAATTCTTCCACCTTTTTTCTGAGTCCTTCCACTTTCTCTTCTAGTTCCCTCCTTTGCACCATCCACTTATCCTCTCTCTTTTTGATTTCTTCTTTTAGATTACCTATTTCCTTTTCTATTTCCTTTTTCACTCCCGCTATCCCTTCCCTCATTTCTCTTCCCTGGTTCCTTGCGCTTTCTTCTATTTTCTTGCTCAGACCTTCTCCCAATTCTTTAATCATCCTCTTTATCTGTCCAACTCCACTTTCCTCTTCCACCCGCTCTTTCTTCTTCTCCGGCGATCTTCCTACCAAACTGCTCGCTCTAAACATCCATCCTTCTACTTGCGGGTCACGCTCTCCTCCTTCTTCTCTCCCCTCCTCCTCTTCCGCTTCCGTTTCTCTTTTCCTTTTCCAAATTTCTTCTATGCTCGTCATGTTTCCCATGCTTATGCTCCTTTCTTTTTTCAGTGCTGCCACGTTGGTCGGTCTGCCTCTTTTCCCGCCTTTGTCAGCTTTTCCTAGTTCATCCTTCCCTTCCGCGATTTTTCTCTTTTCTTTTGATTCCTCTGTTCTGTCCTCCATACTTCCCCCTTCCCCTTTCTTCTATCTCTTCCTTACCTACCGGGGCTTCTTCTGTGTCACCTTTTTCCCACCTGTCCCCCAGGTATCTCTCTCCGTTCCCTCTTTCCTCCCTTCGCGCTCTTTCCCAGCCTTCTCTCTTCCTAACCTCACTTCCAACGATTTTGCTTATCGCCGATTTTCTTCTTACTTCACTTTCTTTAATATTGACCTTATCTGTCACTCTTTTCCTCTCTTACGTACTCCCACTTTCTGTTGACCCTAAACCTTTTCTTTCTCACATTTACTAACTTTTCACTCTCTAATCACTCCAGCTATCACGTCGCACGTTCTCTCCCAATTCATCTAAATAACATCTCAACTTGGAAATTTATATTATGTTAAAGAAAAAAAGGAGCAGGAGACAGCTATGTTTGTCTCATTCTCAAACGATTTACTGCTGTGGCACATGCGTTACGGTCATTTGAATAAAAACGACTTAAAGAAACTTGTAAGAATGGACATGGTAAAAGGTTTAAATTTTAAATCCAAAGGAGAAATGCCATTCTGTGATATATATGTAAAATGCAAACAAACAGTATTGCCGTTTAAAACTTCTACAAATAAGAGAGTTGTAAAGACATTAGATTTAGTGCACTCGGACGTTTGTGGTCCAATGCAAACTTTGTCGAATGGTGGATCTCGTTATTTTATTACATTTATTGACAAATGCACAAATTGGGTAGAAGTGTACTTCCTAAAATCTAAGGCAGAGGCTAAAGAAGCTTTTCAGAAGTATAGGGCTAAAGTCGAAAAACAAACTGAAAGAAAAATAAAATGCCTAAGGACGGACAATGGTCTAGAATACTGTTCTGCGGATTTTGATAGAATATTGGAAGAAAATGGAATAAGAAGAGAGAAGTCTAGTGCGTATACACCTCAACAAAATGGGACCGCAGAAAGGATGAATAGAACACTTGTAGATATGGCCCGAAGCATGTTACATTCGTCAACTCTGCCAAAAGGTTTCTGGGCAGAAGCTATCTCTACAGCTGCATATTTGAGAAATAGGTGCCCTTCAAAGAAATTAGATTCAAACACTCCGTTTGAATGTTGGTACGGATACAAACCGAATGTATCTTATTTCAAAACGTTTGGATGTAGGGCGTTCATGTTGTTAAAAAGGCCTGGCAGGGATAAATTTGAACCAAAAGCTAAAGAATATGTTTTCATAGGTTACTCGCAAGAATCAAAAGCCTACCGGCTATGGGACTCAAAGGAAAGAAAAGTACGTATAGCACGAGACGTCAAGTTTTCAGAAAAGCTATGTAATAGACGAGCAACCGAAAATGATATCGCTTTAACTGACAAACAAGAAGAAGAAGAAGAAAGCGATAGTATAGATCACGAAGAAAATAATGAAATAAATGATGAGGAAACCCCACATGATGAGTCAATTCAGGAAACTCCAAGGAGAGGGC